GCAGCTGCCGCTGAGCTCTCCGCCGCCTGGCCCCACCTCAGCCCGGGCAGCCGCAGCCCTTCATCGCCCGGACCCACCTTGGACCGGGCAGCCGCGGCCCTTCGCCATCCTCCTGCTGCTGCCGCTGCCACCGCAGCCCTTCGCCGCCCAGCCCCACCTTGGCCCGGGCAGCCACGGCCCTTCGCCATCCACCGGCAGCATTCGCAACTGCGACATCATCTTCCTCAATGGTGCAGGCAGCATTGGATTTGAGAATGTTATAGACAGTCACCCTTAACCTCCTTCTGGCACGGAAATATTTTGTGGAAATATTGAACTCAATATACCCTGATATAAAATTCACAGTGGAGGAGGAAAAACAAGGTTTTTTAGCCTTTTGGGATGTACTAATCCACCGCCAACCAGATGGATCATTACACACCAAAGTTTACCGTAAGCCCACCCATACGGACAGGATCCTCCACTACAGGAGCAACCATCCAGTGGCCCACAAGATTAGCTGCATTAAAACATTATTCAAACGCATAGACTCCCACTGCAACACGGTCAAGTCCCAAACGGAGGAGAAGAAACATTTATTCCGGATCTGCTTACAAAATGGATATCCCATAAAATTTATAAAACGACATATTACGACACTCAGACCCCATAACAGTCCACAGAGAGAAGAACCACCAACACGTAAGACACGCATCTCCTTACCATATATAAATAACGTCTCCGAGGCAACTACCAGGCTTCTAGCCCCCTACAACATAAAAGTGGCCCATAAACCCAACCAAACTCTACGTTCCAAAGTTATGCACCCCAAGGACCCACTTCCCACGATGGAAAGATCTGAGGTGATTTACAAAATTGACTGCAAGAACTGTCAAAGCAACTATGTGGGTGAGACATCTAAATGATTGAAAACCCGTATCCACGAACATAAATTGGCCATAAAAAGGGGTGAACAACACTCCCAAATATGGACACACATGGTGGAATATGGGTACCAATTCGACTTTAATAACACACGGATCATATCTAGTGATACCAAAAAAGGGGGCAGACTATTAAAAGAAGCCTGGTTTTCAGATAACAACTCCATTAATCGCCATGTGGATCTTTGCCCCACACAGCAAGCACTGAGAAAATGGAACAAGAATCATCACTCCACTCACCATAAACAACTTAACCGACATAGACGAACTCGAGAAGGTGATAAAGGGTTAAAAGACCACCAAACAGGAGACTTGCATGTCTTCCGACACCTCCTCAATAAACCCCCTGGATGGAAGAACGAAGACGACCGTGCCTGAAAGAGGTTGGCGCACCGCACATCTGATACGGAGTCCCATGGTAGCGTCCACGTCCCCATGGTGGTTTGACACGGAAATGCAGCACAAATAAGGATAGTTAAAGAGGTTAATGAGGATGTTACAATGATTGGTTATCACGGCCCTGTTACGAGATCTAGGGCCCAGATGCAGGTGTCGGCTTATTTATAAATGCTTTTCCCATTGATTAACTTTGTGCTCTGAGGATGTCGGAAGGATTGAACTTTTTAGTTCTTTTCAACCAGACATACCCTTCTGAGATTCGAACCTGGGCTGTCTGCATGTTAGGCAGATGTATTAACCTCTAGGCCACAGGCTCTTTCTCACTTTGTCAGCTATGAGACAGGGGAGAAGAATTATCTTTGAGTTTTGGTGCACCCTGTCGGCCCAAATATGGGAGAAAGGAATCTTTTGCCTGTATCAGCTCAAACTAGAGCTATCCACCGGCAGCATTCGCAACTGCGACATCATATGTGTTTTTCAAAATATATTTTTACCATGAATGCACCCAGGAATCAGTCATCTGTTTTTAGGATTGTTTTTAAGATTTACGGCAGAGCAGCTTTGCTCGTAGCTAGGAAATGGGAGAGGCTGGCGCACCGCACATCTGATATGGAGTCCCATGGTAGCATCCATGGGCCGGGTGCAAAGGTGGTTTGATTATAAAAGTGTGCTCCCATTGACCTACATAGATCCCTGAGGATGCCGGCAGTGTGCCGGTGAAAGCTTGGATCGTAATTTATTAAAACTTTTATAGTTTTTTACCTTTCCTGGTGTTCACTTTTGTTTATATTTTTACCATGAATGCACCCAGGAATCAGTCATCTGTTTTTAGGATTGTTTTTAATATATCTATCTATCTATCTATCTATCTATCTATCTATCTATCTATCTATCTATCTATCTATCTATCTATCTCTATCTCTATATCTATATCTATATCTATATTTCTCTCTCTCTCTCTCTCTCTCTCTCTCTCTCTCTCTCTCTATATATATATATATATATATATATATATATATATATATATATATATATATATAGTTAGAAATAACACTGAAGACAAACGAGTGACTCCTGGATATATCCATAGTAGGAAACAACGTGAGCACCAGGAGGTTGTAAAACAGTTAAAAGTTTTAATAAAACATTAAAAACCTTTAAAAGAATATTAAAAAGGACCTAGCTTTCGTTGGATCCTACCAACATCATCAGGGTAAAGAATAACTCAATGGGAGAAACCATTTATAGGCCAGCCAACGCCTGCGCTCAGGCCCTAGGAGGGCGACTCTGGAGTTGCGAGCCAGGTGGAGCCGGACGGGAGAAAACGGCAAGGGAGATCGCCCGGATGAGGCGCGGAAGCTCCCACCCCCGCACGCACTTAGCATCGGCGAAACGGAGGGTGGGGATGTGACTGCTGGGTTACAGCCCGAGCTGGATTGGACGGGGGCGAACAAGGAGAGAAATAAAAACAAAAATGCGACTCTTGGGAATATTCATTATAAAATAAAACGACCACCAAGAGAAATCTATAAAAACATATAGAGTTTAATCCGCCAAGCTTTCGTCAAGTGCACTTGACATCATCAGGGCTAAAAAGGGAAATGCCGGTGAAGACTTATATACAGCCACTCAACGCCTGCTTCCGGCTCCTGGAGCGCGTAACCGGCCCCAGCTGATCCTGCCGCACTTCGAGCGCGCTGCCTGCTTTGATGTTCGGCTCCTTTTTCTGAGTTCGCGTCCTTTCAAGTGCTATTACATTCATTACCAGGGTGTTAGGCAGATTCGATGGTAAGGCATTCTTGCCTTCCCTGCATACGGCTCCCCCGCTGTTATACGTGTGTCTGTCTCTGAGAGGTGGGGGGGACCTCTCTCTATATATATATTTCATAAGATTATATGATAGTTTTAATCATAGATATATAAACTCTTTCTCTGTTTTATGTAGGCTAATCACAAAGGTCAGGTAGAGAATAATACATATTAAAAAGAGATTAAGTTAACGATGGATTATTTCAAATGTCTCCCAACCAAACATTTCATTTTAAGGAAGAAATGGCTTTTTATGTTGTAATACTGTTATGCTTGCTTTGGAGCTTCAGATTTCCTTGAAAAATACATTAAAATGACAAACAGCTAATACTTTGGAGTAGCAATTTCCAAACACTAATCAAAAGGTAATTATGATGTATATTACTGCAAAGCAGTGTACATTACAGCAAATGTGATAGGCACCTGATTTGATGGTTATAGTAAATAGTGAATTCCAATTGATTCCCCTATAGGTAATGAACAGCAAGTGCCTCAAAAGCCTCCTAGAGGCAACACACGAGTTGCCCAAGTTCGTGATTCCCCCAGCCCCATTATACCCTCCTCCTGACAAAGATACTATGGACCCAATTGCATTGTAGAATGAAGCAAATGTTACAGACCCAACCCAGCTGGTATCTAAAAGTATGTTTGAATAATTATCTATTTCTTTTTCTTTTCCAGACTTTCCTCTGTTCTGTTTCCAGCCATGTGTTTTCTTTATCCATCTGTTTCCTTTTAGAATTCTTAGGGTATTATATGAACTTGACTAATTAATATATTGAATCAATCAGGCCAAAACTTTTTTGGAAGTAGTCATTTAAGGATAATGATTTCAGATAAGACATTTTTGGCATTTGGATGGCAAGACCTGAGTTCAATGTTTCATTTTATTTAATTTAACTATTTATTTTCCTTGCTTTTATGGAACTTTATAGTCCTTTTCTCATGAAGATAATAATTGGCATTACGGTGTTAAATGGCCCTGATGCAGCTTAAAAACTAGAATACAAAACCACTGAGCTTTTTTCCCAAATCCTGATTTTTCATAGAATATAAAAATATTTATTTTAAAAATAATGTTGCATAAATAAATTGAATCAATGCAAGGAGCATATAAGAGAAAAGAGTGGTTCTCCCAAGTAACAATTAATCTAAAAAAATAGTAGTGTATATTTTCTTGCATTTCATTTAAGTTATTTGTAATTGAAATGTTAAAATATAATTACATTTGCGGTTCAGAATATAATGAATGGGAAAAGGAAAAAGAAAGAGATAAAGTAGTTTAAAAATAGGCTATTACTGGGTTACTTGGGGCTTCTGGATAATTTTATAATATGTGACCAGTGATCCACAATGACCATTTGTTTCCAGAGACGTAGCCTGCTAACTAGCTGGGACAGTATTTCCCAACCTCAGCAACTTTTAAAATACGTGAATTTCAAATTCTAGAATGCACTAGCTAGCCATGCTGGCTGGGGACTTCTGGGTGTTAAAATTTATGCATATTAAAATAGCTGTTTGAAAAGGGCTGATCTGGGCTAAAAGAGGATGAATTAAGGCAACTAGTGAGCTTTCTGCAGCAGTGACCTCTTCCTACAATCCCTGGTGACAGTTTGAAAAAGATGAGAAGAGCCTGTTTGCTGTTGAAGACAATCCATTGTCTCAGTTGCCAATTATAGATTCAGGAAAAAATTACTTCCAGGTACTTAAATGACAATTACCTTTTTATCAATAGTAAAGAAATCATTTTGAACTACCTGGAAAATCTTAACAGTGGGCAGAGGGCAGGCAAGAAGCCCCAATTTATCATGGTTAACCCTAAAATATACCTCAAAAGAAAACTAAACAAAAGAATTTGTTTAATTTCCTCAAAAGGAAATTAAACAAAAAGAGAGCTCTAATTCCAGCCACTTATCTCAGAAGATAGAGTTTGGGCCTTGTGGCCACTGTTTGTCCCATTTGTTCTGCCACTTGGTTCATTGAATATTGATAGCACAAATTTCTATTTCTCATATAATTAAAATGAAATGATGTATGCTTTCTACTTGCTGGTCTACAGCTGAATTTTGTAAATGTGATTTATCAAGTACTGAGATCAGCATCAGACTTTGCAAGTGCTTCTGTGGCTTATTTGATTAAGTGAATAATCTGTGTACCATTTGAAATGGTATGACTAAAAATAGAGTGTTTCCCTACTTGCGTATAACCTTGATTCAGATAGACTCCAGCAACATGTTGTCTACCTTATTCCTTGCCCTCATTTTATATCTGCCAGTTAGTAAGACAGGCTTAAAGTGTTTGCAGCTATACCAGTCTTAAAGTAGTATCCAACTAGAACTACAAGTCATGTTAAATCAGATATGATTTGCAACTAAAGTCAGAAGTGAAGTCACATGACCAGTGGAAGATGGGATTGGAGAAGTGCTTATTGCCACTTCAGGCCTCTTCCCTTCAGTTCTTGGTTAACTTTATCTGTCATGTGTTTGCTATTGTCTCCCTGAATGCAGCAGCACCTGAAATATACAGAGGACTGCCAGCCAGTGAGATTTCTGTTATTAGCCAGTGCATAACTGCATTATCCTGCCTTACTCAGGTTTATGCCTACATAAATATATTCTGTTCAAGTATCATTCTGCCTTGTTAACATTTGGACCTTTAAATGTTTTGCACACAAATCCCACATTATCCATCCATGGATAGATTTTTCTGTTTTATTTTACTACTGTGGTTTCTTCTATTCTAATAGCCTAATATCTTATTTTGATCAAACTTTCATTTTGTGAAGAGTTGTTATGATTCATACATTTATTGCTTGTATAGTTGCGGTTAATTAATTAACAGCCCCATCAAGGAATACTAATTTGGAAATAAATCATATCAGGTTTAGTAGAATTTATTTCAAGATAAATATATTTAGGCTATAGCATAACATTATTTGTGTCTGCTTGAGAGTAAATAGATACAAGATTGTAGATAGTGAGCAATCACTATAAATTAGGACCATTAGAAATATTTCAAAAAATGATTCTATTTGGCCACAAATAGAATATATATAGAGAGATATACTTGAGATTGCATGTGCTTGAGTTATGTTCTTGCTGGCAGCAATAATCTCAGAGAATGAATCATACTGTCAATTACTTGTTGTTATTTGATTATTGTTCACAGGAAAGTGTAAAGTATATGTGTGTGTGTCTCTGTGTGTATGTATACACACAGTAAGGTATATAGCAACTGCATGCTCTGATTATGTATATTGATTTCTCCAGGAATGTAGCATTTAGAATTGCTAATCTTTTCTGAACAAAGATCAGTTCCTAAAAAAAATCTTTCACTCCTCTGTGAATATGTATTATACTGAAATATAACTATTACAGCTGTGAATTTTTTAAAAAATTATTTGGACAGAGTATAAGTTAGGCTTATCCACCTTTACTATTAGCTTCATTAGAAACTCTTGAACATCTAAAAAATATACTTGATTATAGTAGGATATATTCCGAGATTAGTAAATGTAGGAGTGTGCCTTAAAGTAATTTCAATTTTAATGCATTATTTGCTTTTTTCCCCCAACAGTTTATTGTTGTGCATCATTTCCTTCACGTTCCAAGCCCATCTAATACAAGTTTGGCTCTTGCTATGGTCTCCATCTTTCTGAAAACTCTTGCCTCTGCTGCCTTACCTGTCTTTATGTTGCCTTTTCCCTTCATATGGAAAAATGCTCTTCTTATGTGAATGACATTTTCAAATATCTTTTTTCATATATGTTGTTATTTTTCAGTTTTCAGCTCCATAGATGTTTATGAGACAAATTCTTCCAGGATTTAATGTATGAGTGACTTTTTTTTTAACTACTTAGATGGAGGACATTTCTCAGTTTTGTTGTTGAAGTTGAAAAATTACATTTATGCTATTTATTTTCTATAAATAGCTATATATATATTATTTATATTGTTCTATGCAACTGGGCACACCTTAATGAATCAAGGTAATGAATGATATGAGCTTAGAAAAGTTTTAATAGTATATAGATAAGGTAGTATCTGTAAGTTTTCCCATTTGAGTCATCTTGGTTTGAAAGATTTTGCCTTATAGTTTCACCCAGTTAAAGTTTACAAATACAAGAGGTTTAATAGTATATAAATAAACGGTTGCACTGCTACCTTCACTCACTTCAAGCAGATTTATTTGTGTAGGATTACATTCCTGCATACTTATATAGGAATCAATCTCATTAATTCCAATGGATCTATGTCAGCGTTTTTACTAAGAGACTTTAAACCAGTGGTTCTCAACCTGTGGGTCGGGACCCCATTTAGGGTCGATCAACCTTTTCATGGGGGTCACCAAGCAAGGCTGTTTGCCATTTTTTTTGTCCGCCATTTTTTCCCCTTTTCCGGCGCGTGCCTTACCTCCCTTGGGCTGGGCCAGCTGGTGGTTGGCCTGCTCCGTTTCTGCCGCTTGCCAGCTACGCCTCGGCCGGCGCAGGGGGCGGAACCACACATGCGCGGCGCTCCCGGGCAGGGAAAGTCCTCGACTTACAACCGGTTGGGTAGCCCTCGACTTACGACCGGTTTAGTCCTCGACTTACGGCTGGTTTAGTCCTCGACTTACAACCGGTTTAGTCCTCGACTTACGACCGGTTGGGGTCGCGGCATTAAAAAGGTTGAGAACCACTGCTTTAAACCCATACACACTCAGTGTAGACTTCATTGAGAATAGTTAGATTTATTTCTGAATAGAGTTGCAGAGTTAATATTATGTTGAACATAGCAGTCATGTTTTCATGTCACATGAATAATATCAGCTTGCTTGGCTTCTGCCAGTCAGAACCAACTTCTGCAGCTTGCTCAGCTTGATCTATAAATCTCATAAGGGATTAGAATTGAAAGTTACAGATGCTGAAGTAAGTTAGAATTCAAAATGGGAACTATCAAACACAGTGCATTAACAAACCATTCAATCATAAGAATGCCTCTAAATGTTGCCTAAAGATATACAAAGTAAGTCATAGGATGTAATGATATGTAAGAATGACCTTAGGAGATTGGGTGAAGAGATGCTGCCTAAGGAACAGTCCTAAGTTTGGACTGTAAAGATGATGGCAGGAGAATTGTACTTTCCGACTTGCAAGATTTGTGTCAGTCTTATCAAATAGACCAGACAGAAAACACAGCCAGATAAACTAATTCTACTTTATTTAAAAGCACAATAATAGAATGTTGCAAGTCTGAAATTACATTTCTCCCACCATCATCTTTACAGCAGAATAACTTAGGATAGGTCCCTCTTGAGCTGGTTGCTCTGCCCATTAGGCAGCTGTAGACTATGTTCCCTCTTATCTGACCATTTCCTAGACAGCATCTCTTCTGATCAATCCCACATATCACTACATAGGAAGATATACAGAAGCTTCAATAAATGTAGACTAATTCATTACTTTCCTATTTTTCATACTCTTACTGCATTTAAGTATCTTGTTACAGTTCTATTAGCATATTATAAATTAAGTGTGTTTCTAAATCAAGTACTTTCTAAATTGTTTCATGACAAATCTAATTCAATAGAATTCTTTTTTGTATTAGTTTGAGAAATAATGTTTATTGCTTTTTTGTGTGTATTTCTGAAAGCAATTCTTATTT